AAGTTCTCAAGTAAAGAGGAGCCCTAAGGAGTTAACTCACTAATGAGTACTCCTTATGCCCTGAGGGGCTTCAGGAAAGACCTTCCATGGTCTAGTACATAGACAAATACTTGTCCATACAAAGAAATACAAGGGCATCTTTCAAAACAGTTTGATCTATTGGGAATAACATGGGTTTGCAACCTGAAAACCTATGTTAACTACTCATTGATTGTTTCTAGATTTGTTCAGATCAAATCTAGATTGTTAACCTCTAAGCCAACTTTTTACTCATTAATTGTAATGAAATGAATCTTTTTTGGTGTTTTTCCCCAAAGGAATAAATGACACAAATGTCACAAGCTCTGATAACTAATTGTAAAATGTTCTTCATTCCCTGATATTATTGTTTGGTATCTCAAATTGACAAATGAACCAATGACATTAAAAAATTCTTTGTGATAACAGATCTGAAAAAGTTAACTGAACTCAATGCAGAAGCCTATTTTATTCTCACCTAACTGAAGTGTGACTGTAGGGAAAGCTTTGGTAAAAAGGAAGATACGTGAGCTCTTTTCTCCTTGTGCTTGCTCTTGGGATGAAATATGTATGGAAGTTAAGTCATTTTCAGTTCATCTCAACTTTTGTTGTCCTCCTCATACCTTCCTGACCTTGCTTTGCCCCCAAGCTTTTCCAGGGCTGAGTGATGATAACATAGGTAGAAACCACATGGAAGGCAAGTGTGCAGTACATATGGTGACTCAAGAATTTAATTTTCTTTCTGAGCAAAGCAGCCTGGCTCTTCAAAACTCATTTCCCTTTACAGCAAAATCTACAGAAGTGCATTGGGAGAAAAACTTTTCCACTTTAAATAAATTTTGCTGCTTGTGCTTTACATGAGGAAATTTATGAAGTGCACTTAAAAAATTGGCTAAGTAAAGGGAGTTTCAATCTGAAATGAAGACAGATGGAAGGGAAAAAACATAAAAATATATGGGGATCTGACTCAGCCTAGTCCATTAGCTCTGCATTGGTGCACACATACATAATGTTAATGAAGGAGTACAGTTTTATAAAACCTGATTAGAGTATAGACTAGGAGTTTAAGAAAATAATAAAAGGAATCAGCTTTAGAGTTGAAATCAAAGAAGATTCTTTGTGTAGAAGAGAATGAAGAGACATAGACAAAAATATTTTCTATTTAATCCTTGGTTCTCAGGGCAAGTGTTTTAAGAAAACAGATAAAATATGAAAGCCTGACTCATGCAAAATAAGGGAACTGCAATATTTATGGCCAGAAAAAACAAATATTTTCATTCCTAGTATAATCCTGGCTAGCAATAATCTAGTGGACTAATAAAAGCATTACAAAGTTAATATACACAGCAAATTCTAAATTCTTATTTATATACTTTGGTTCTGAATTCATAGTTGCAAAGTCCTTTTCCAGTAAAGTAAGGATAAAACATTTTTATTAAAAATTCTTCATTTTTATTTTAGTTGCATGGTAGCAATAAAGAGGCAGATTTCTAATATAGACAAAAAAAATGATGTGCTATGAATGGATGCATTAGCCTAATATGATTAGCATATTTTGGCAGGTATTTTTTTTTCCTTGTGAGGGAAAAGTTTTCCATGCCCTGTTGCATTCCTCAATTTATATGGAGAAAAATGAGTCATTAGGGATGGCTTATAGTATGTGAATGAGAGAGTGCACTCATCTTGCAGTTTTATGTATTTTCCACTTTAGATTCTACATATTGCCCAAAGTTACCATGTGTTGCTGAGAATTTGTGTTTCTTTGCACTAAGAAACAAATGCAGAGTAGCTCATTTTTTGAGGGTTTGCTGAGAGGCAGAGCTAGAACATAGGTATGAAAGTAATTATTCTTAATATAGATAAAAGTGTTTTCCCCAAAGTATTGAAAATTCCCTTAGTCTAAGCAGAGTGGTTGTAAAAGACACACTTGCACAACCATTAACACCAATGTATGTAGGAGGTAATTTGAAAAGATTTTTAGAAAGCCTGTGCTCATCAGCTCTCAGCCTAACTATTGTGCAGCCAGCCACCTGCACATTTTTAAATCACTGTTCCTAGTAAATGGAAGATGTCCTACTGTGGGTTCTGAGGGAATGAGCCTTGCCATGACTGAGGGAACACACAAAGGGCCCTACTCTTGAGGTCATTCATCTGATCTACTAAGAGAGCCATAAGGTAGTCATATCAATTACTATAAGACTGAATCAAATAATTAAATTATAAGAATGATTTGAAGTTGTAAATGCCATAGGAACAGAAAATCATTAAATAATTTGCAGAATATTCTATGATCCTAATTTGGCAAAGTCACTGATACAGATCAGTGTTTATGGAACTTCTCTTTGGAGAGTTAAGAATAACTGAATACTATAGGTTCTAATCTAGATATAATTTGGTGAACCAAGAGACAGTACAAATAGGTCTTTGCTATAGTTTGCTCAGGGCAAAAGGCAGTTCTAGGCTGTTATCTAGAAGGAAGGGAGGAAGGGAGGGAGGGAGGAAGGAAGAAAAAGAAAAGAAAAAAAGAAAAGAAAAGAAAAGAAAAGAAAAGGGTATACTGAAGTGACATATGTTCACTAAAACTGAGTGTCGTTAAATTGTTTAATCCTTTACAGGCTCAACTCATACTATGCATAAATCAGGTTCTGAAACACTTGGCAGATAATAGGCTTCTGGATGTGTGTGTGTTTGTGTGGGGGAAAGTGAGGGATAGGCATTGCACCTGTACAAGAAGGATTTAGAATTAATTAATATAAAAGTATAATAATATAGATTGATTTTAAATTGACAAGGAGTAAGCATAAAGTCAATGAAGACAACAGTAAGCAAAATTTTAAGTACTTAGAATCTCCCTAGTTGGTGTGGCTCAGTGGATTGAGTGCTGGGCTGTGAACCAAAGGGTTGCTGGTTTGATGCCCAGTCAGAGCACTTGCCTGGGTTGCAGACCAGGTCCTCAGTGGAGGGTACTTGAGAGGCAACCACACATTGATGTTTTTCTCCCTCTCTCCCTCCTTTCCTTTCTCTAAAAATAAAAAAGGGAAGTAGTTAGAATTATCTCAGTTCTTTTTCAGAACAATCTATATAACAACTCAGAATTTTAGACACTGTTTTTCCCAAAAGCATACTGCAAGTATGTAGCAGAATTAAATTAATTCTTATACTTCACATTTCTGGAAGCCACAAAAAATTTTACTGTGAATGTAGGTCTTAAATTGCTTTGGATCTCTGAGATATAGGATGAAGAAGACCAAAGATATAGCTGGAATTCTAGACCCCTTTTGTGTCTCAGAGTGGGCACAGTATATTAGAGTGCTCTGTAGAAACTCTGTACCAAACTGGAACTCAATAATCCTGTTTTGAACTCTTTTGAATGTGGCATAAAACAATACCAAATAAAAAGAAAATGAGAAATTCAATTTAGACCTTCAAAGTCAATTCGACAATAACTTGGTGGGAGAATAACTGTTTTTGTGTTTTCTCATATGAACAGTTGAACTCATTGTTTATAAATTGAGATGGAAAAAAGGTGAAACTACCCACCTTTGTGCTGTGATCATTTTTCTATCTAAAAGAAAAATGTTTATGGCAAGGCAGAATGCCAATAAACATACATGGAAAATTATCAGATCTCTATATACCAAATATGCCTGGCATTCTTCCTATAAGTTATTCAGCTAAATAAGCATATGACAATTCATGTCAGGTATAAGAAATATGAAATCTCCTCACCAGGCTAGAAACATTTGGAAAGGTAGTTATGACTAAATTAGATTAAAGAGGAAGAATGACATGAGGAATCTTGTATCAGATATGGCTTATCAATATTTATGGCAAGGAGTTGGCAAATAATCTAATGAAAAATGGGCATAGTAGCCCTGCCTGGTATGGCTCAGTGGGATGGGTGTTGTACCACAAACTGAAAAATATGCATAGTTTCTGAATATGGACCCTTCCTTCATGATATTAAAATGGCCAGTGAGGACATGGAAAGATGCTCAGTGTCACTAGTCATTTGAAAATGCAATCAGAAATAAAATGAGATACCATGTCACATTCACTAAACTGGCTGTATGTCTAATGAGGCTGTGGAAGGACTGGAACACTTATATATTATTGTCCAGAATGTGAAGTGGTGCAGACATTTAAAAGAACAGTTTGGTATTTCCTTAAAATATGACATAGAGTTACCAAGTGATACAACAGCAACACTCCCTCTGAGACAAAAACCCGAGTTATCTCAAAATATATATCAACACAAAACCTTGTAAATAAGATTTTAAGCAGCATTATTTATACTACAAAAAATGGAAAAGCTCAAATGTTTATCAATTCATGTGTGGATAAAAAAATAGAATATTCACACAATGGTATATTTTTCCAGCCATAAAAAAAAGGAATGAAATACTGATATTCTATAACATGGATGGAAACTTGAAAACACTATGCTAAATGAAAGAAGCCAGTCACAAAAAAAAATCACACATTGTGTGGATTACAATTATATATAGAAGATAAGTTCTGGGAATCTAGTGAACAGCATTTGACTAAAGTTAATAATAATGTACTTTCAACTACATACTTGAAAGTTGTGAAGAAAGAAGACTTTCAATGTCTTCTCTAGAAAAATATAATGGTAATTATGTGACATGTTAAAGGTATTAGCTAATCCTATAGTAGTAATCAAATCAACACATTGTACACCTTAAACTTACACAGTATTATATGAGATGAGACCCAAAAAGTCCCCTGGAATTTATTTAAAACTGTATATTTACATCCTCCCCTTCCTCCACCCTCACTCGTGTATTCCCCGTACCAACAGGAAGCAGAACTGGAGGATGCGTATCCCTGCAACCTCTTAGCAACGCGAGATGGGGGTCAGGTGACACAACCAGCTGATTCTGGTACAGGAAGACACTGGCCAGGGCTGTGGCAGCCCAGATTGCCCGGCTGGTAACTCGAGGTGAACAGTGGTTGTCAGAATGTTGAGCAAAGACCGAACTGAAATCTTTCCCTCACGAATGGCACAGACCATCGTGAAGGCTCAATTAAAAGGAGCACAGACAGGTGGAAACCTCCTGAAGAAAAAGTCTGATGCCTTAACTCTTCGATTTCGACAGATCCTAAAGAAGTTCACAGAGACTAAAATGTTGATGGGGGAAGTGATGAGAGAAGCTGCCTTTTCACTTGCTGAGGCCAAGTTCACAGCAGGGGACTTCAGCACTACGGTCATCCAGAATGTAAATAAAGCCCAAGTGAAGATTCCAGCAGAGAAAGATAATGTAGCAGGTGTCACTTTGCCAGTGTTTGAACACTACCACGAAGGATCTGACAGTTATGAGCTGACCGGTTTAGCCCGAGGTGGGGAACAACTGGCTAAATTAAAGAGGAATTACGCCAAAGCAGTGGAACTACTGGTGGAACTGGCCTCGTTGCAGACTTCCTTTGTTACTTTGGACGAAGCCATTAAGATAACCAACAGGCGTGTAAATGCCATTGAACACGTCTTCATCCCCCCGGATCGAATGCACCCTCGCCTATATCATAACAGAACTGGGTGAAAGAGAACGAGAAGAGTTCTATCGGTTAAAGAAAATACAGGAGAAGAAAAAAATTCTCAAGGAAAAATCTGAGAAGGACTTGGAACAACCGAGGGCAGCTGGAGAGGTGAGGGAACCTGCCAATCTCCTGGCTAAAGAGAAGAATGAGGACCTTCTGTTCAAATAGTCGTCTTTCCTGCTCTGGATCTTTCAGAAATCCTAACATGGCACCATTTTAGTTCACGGTGTATAGGTTTGGTTTGTGCAGCTGTTTATTTTTCAGCCTAAGAATTTCACTGGTGGTAAAATTTCCCTGAACGTCTATTTATGGGAGTACCTTTGCAGAATCCTAATTTAGCAACCTTTATCAGAGATGAGATTTTGATAAACGAGTTTAAGCTGCAGAAGACCACCCCACTCCACCTTCATCTGTATTACATGTGATCGGCTTACCCAGCACATTAGGAAGTTCCCCTTAGTTATCAGTGGTTATCAGTGGTCTCAGGCCAGCTGCTGCAGGAGAACCCTTCCCACCCACCCACTTACCAGCACTGTAGTCTGTGATCGTTGCAGTGCTCCTTGTGTGACTGTGGCACTGGCTCTCTTTAAGCTTTCTGGAAGCCCACACTTATGTTGCTTTTCATGACAGGTCTCTGTTCTGCCTGTCATGGAGCAGTTTTGCCACGTGCCAGTTTTCAATGTGACTATGGTATAAACAGTAATATCATTTTAAAAATAAAAATAAATAAAATTGTATATTTACAATGAAATACTATGAAGCAGAGAGAAAGAAGGAGCTCCTACACTTTGTGACAGCATGGATGGAACTGGAGAGCATTATACTAAGTGAAATAAGCCAGGTGGTGAAAGACAAATACTACATAGTCTCACCTATTAGTGGAACCTAATCAACAAAACAACAAGGAAGCAAAATATAACCAGAAACATTGAAATAAAGAACAAACTGACAATAACCAGAAGGGATAACAGAGAGGGATAATGGAGGAAAACAGAAGAAAGGCCATCAAGGGATATGTATAAAGGACACATGGACAAAGCCAAAAGGGGTAGGTTTGAGAGTGGGAGGTGGAGATGGCTGGGGTGGGGCAGAATGGTTGGGGAAATTGGAGAAAATTGTACTTGAATAATAATACAAAAATTTAAAAAGAATAAAGTACAATAAAATAAAATTCAAAAAAGAAACAATTACAATTAAATTATATGATAAATGAGCATAAGTATATTTTAATTTTTTAAATTAATCAAGTTGTGCAATAATTTTTAAGCAAAATTGGGATTTGAACTTGAATGACAGATTGCTACTCTGACTTGAGTGATAAAACAGCTTTTGATTATTTGTAAGAGCAAATTTGAATTGGTCTTAAGTGTCTGTCTCCTGTGTCCCACCAGTGTTTATTGGATTGAGGTTCCCAGGAGCATATTGTAGGAATAATTCATATTGGTAACAAGATGTGTTGATGCATGCTAAAATGTATAAAGCACTTCTGTAAACTGATATTGTCAGGAGACCATATGTTCCCATTTCTCAAGTTTATTATATAAAAATAGAAACATTCTCTGAATATTTATTATGTATTAGGCACTATTCTTTGTTCTTTCAATGAATTAACTCATTCAATTCTCAAACATTAACCTTATTTTGTAAAAAATAAAACAAATACAAAACTGTTAAGTAATTGCCAAAGTCACACATGTAATTAAATAGTGAAGCTGAGGTTAAAACGTTCCAGAGCTCAGATTAGCAAAAAAAATTAATTAATTATTTACATATTTACAGATATTATCCATCTGTATTACCATTAGACCTTTGCATAGTACTTACATTGAAACATTCAGGAAAACATTCCCAAAGGTGCTAGATTGGGGTTTTTGCTGACATTATCTATTTTCAACAACTTTCTAAGAGCACATTCTTAGTTAACAGAAAGTTGTCATAGTGCAGTAATTTTAGCCACTCAATTAAATGCAATGTCTTTTAAAATTGATTATATCATTACCATTTTTATTTATATTTTTCCTTTTTTATTGTTGTTCAAGTACAGTTGTCTCCTTTCTCCACCACCACACCCCCCACCCCAGCCATCCCCACCTCCAATCCTCTATCTTAACCCCCTTTGGCATTACCACTTTATTTAAGCTTCACTCTCACTATTCAGGACTTAATATGCTTCAAGATTGAAATGAAATTTTTGAGTTCAAACTATTTAAAGTAGGTAGGAGGAAGTTCTATTAGAATATCTGAACTAGCCCTGACTGGTGTGGTTCAGCTGGTAGGGCATCATTCCACAAAACAAAAGGTTGCCACTGCAATTCCTAGTGTGGGCACAAGCCCAAGTTGTGGGTTTGGTATCCAGTCAGGGAGCATATTAGAGGCAACCAATCGATGTTCCTCTCTCACATTAATATTTACCTCCCCCTCTTTCTCCTTACCTTCCCCTCTCTCTAAAAATAAAAATAAAAATAAACAATTAAAAAAGAATACCTGAACTAAGGAAGATGCAACTTTTATTTTTTTGATGGTCTCTTATTGCTAATTGGATTCATTTCGGTAAGAAAACACATTATGATTTTTGCTAAAAATAGAAATTGGAGTAGTATTCTTCCAAAGATTTATAACAGAAAAGAAGTTTTATATTGATTCTTTCAAAAAATAATTTAAAGACTGACTGTACCCCAATTATTTTTTACTTGCTGGTGATACAGCAGTAAACCAAATGGACAAAATATCCTGCTCTCAATTTTACTGCAAATTATTTATGGGCCTATGAAAGCCTGTAGAAGGAACAAAGATGTAAATATTTTGAGTGCCTTGGCAAGGAACATAAATAGGTAAATAAGATGGAAATAAAATGTCAGGGAATGATGGGGCCTGTAATGAGCTAGAGTGTTCACACCTGGCCCGGAGGTTGGGGCTTTATTTCTTTAAATTATTTTACCAGCCAATCAAATGTGTTTGATTTTTAGAATAAGGGTGATTTCGCCTTTCCCCAAGAATCTCAAGAATTAAATGGCACTTCGAACCATTCCAATCCTTGTTAATAATTAAAGATACACAATAATGTATGCTATAAGAAATCAATCAAAATCACTTTAGCCTTTCTAGGGATGGGAACCTCAGTACTTGCTGGATTAGCCTACTCTTTCTAGTTGGCTCTGACTTTATATAGATCTTTCCCTTTGATTTTACTTTAGTGTGTACTAGAAGCACATATGCCTGAAGATAAATCACATCAAAGTTTACCTGAAATCAATCAATGAACAAGTATTATCTGATGATGTTTATGTATTATTCCAAGGCTAACCAAAATATCCAGATGAGTTGACAGGACTAATACTGATGAAAATAACTAAGTATTAGGGACTCTGTATCAATTATTATAACTTCAATAAATACTAGAGTTAGGAGATAGCATCTACAAAACTGATGAAAAGGAGAAGCAGAGAGATGTCACATACAAGTGAAATAATCTAGTATTTGTCTCTGTCTGATTTATTTCACTTAGAATAATGCCCTCAATATCCATACATGTAATTTCAAATGGCAGAATATTTTTTCCTCATAACTATATAATATTGAACTATGTGTATTGTATATATAGATGTGTGTATGTATGTGTATATACATATATAATCACATTTTTATTTTTCCATTTTACTGTAGACAGACAAGGTTGTTTCCAAATAATAGCTATTGTACATACTACTGCAATAAACATGAGAATACAGATATATCTTTAATATTCTGGTTTTATTTCCTCTGGATATATAATCAGAAGTGGAATTGCTAGATCATATTGTACTTCTATTTCAGTTTTTTTGAGGAAACTTCAGAATGATTGGAAGACATTTTGTTTTGGCAATTTGAATATATCATGTCACTTCATTCTGGTCTGCAAAATTTTAGTTGAAAAATCTGCTGATAGTCTTACAGAGGTTCCTTTGTACGTGACAAGTTGTTATTCTCTTGCACTTTTGAGAATTCTCTCCTTGTCTTAACTTTCAACATTTTAGTTATAATGTGGATGTGTTCCTTTATGTTCATTTTATTTGGAGCTCTCTGGGCTTCCTGGATGTGTATTTTTATTTCCTTTCCCAGATTAAGGAAGTTTTTAGCCATGGTTTCTTTAAATAACTTTTATGTCCTTTTCTTTCCTCCTTTTCCATCTAGTACCTCTATAATGCCAGTGTTAGTCTGCTTGATGTTGTCTCCTAAGTCTCTTAACCTATATTCACCTTTTCTCATGTTGTGTTCTTTTTGCTTCTCTGATTTGGTGAGTTCTACTGCCTTGTCTTTGAATTTACTGATCTTTTCTTCTGCTTCTTCTAGTCTACTATTGAACCCCACTAGTATAGTTTTCAGTTCAATTATTGTATTCTTCATCTCTGTGACTTCTATTTGACACTTTTAAGTATTTTTTATCTCTTTGTTGAATTTCACATTATGTTTTTTTATTCTTCTCCCATATTTGGTGGGCATCTTTATGACTATAACTTTGAACTATTTATCATGTAAATTACTTGCTTCAGTTTTACCAAGGTTCCTCCTCACCCCCTGAGGATTTACCTGGCTATTTGATTTGGAACATATTCCTTTGTTTCTTTATTTTTCTTTACTCTTTGTTGGCATCTATCATTGGATGAAACAACCAGCTCTCCCAGTCCTGAAGGAGTGGCTTTATGTAGGAGGTAAACCTTATTACTCATCCCTGCTCTAACTCTTGATATCTCTCAAATCTTTGCAGTTGGGTGAGCTGTCTATTTTATTTCTAATGACTCCAAGTAGTTGAGAGTATGTTGAGACCTGTCAGTGTCCCAAAGAGAGGATCTCAGTCAGCACATTTTCATGTTGATTGGAAGCCAGACACTCAGGCAGGAGATTTTAAAGTGAAAATATAGTCCTGTGGTATTGCAAGCAGAGGCCCTACTGGACTCCAGGACCATGCAATCTGGAGGTTTCCCTTGGGTAGCAGTAATCCCCATCTTTTACTGTTTGTTTTTCATACTTCTTCCTGAAGTGACATTTTACCTGACATCTACATATGTTATACATGGGGCAGAGGAAGGAAAACTAATTAAAAGTTAAAAAATAAAAGGTTAAAAAATATTATTTCTTTACATCAATCTGTCATAATGTGAATTGATAAAATAAGAAATAAGTCTTGTCAA